GGCGCTCCCGGGATCCGAACCCAGGCCGCCAGCATCAGAGTGCGCGCACTTAACCTCCAAGCCACGGAGCCGGCCCAGATTTTTATTTATTTTATTTTTTCCCCCCAAAGCCCCAGCAGATAGTTGCATGTCATAGCTGCACATCCTTCTAGTTGCTGTATGTGGGACTCGGCCTCAGGATGGACGGAGAAGTGATGCCTCGATGCGCACCCGGGGTTCCGGGATCCGAACCCGGGCCGCCAGCATTGCAGCGCGCGCACTTAACCACCAAGCCACAGGGCCGGCCCCGGAAATTTGGTTTCTAAAACGTAGTTGCTATCATGATTCCAATAGTACTGCTTAAGGGACTATCTTTATAAGAATAAAAGGAAGAAGAATTAGGTGCAATAGATAACAGAAAGAGAATCTCTGAGTCTTCAAGAAAGTTTTAATATCCTACTTTTTGCTCTTTTAGTAGCACGCTCTTAGGGATGGTGCTAGGATACGGTAAGTGCTAGAATTCTTGAGAGATCATCTGGACAAAGATTAAGAGTTAAGTAGCTATTGCTTTGACAATTGTGTGGATAAACACCAGACATAAGAGAACTGCATCCAGTTCTTTACTTTTCTGAGGCTTTGTGATAGGGAAAATTTTTAACTTAAGTTTATAGTAACCATGTAGAGATATGATTTTGTTTTTAACCTTAGGTTTTTGTGCTTAGTATCAAATGTAGTCAAATGGGTTAAATTCAGAAGATTTTAGCGAAACCTAGAAATATGACACTGTAGTTCTGACTTCTGTTTGCTTCAGAAATATTCCTGAAATCCTAGTATTTCTCTCTGGGTAGTTCATTGTTGCCTCACCTAGGGAAATACAGACACAACAGCTAGTCATTGGAAGTGGTTGGAGTTGGGGGAGATATGGTTTAGTTTTGACTGCTTGATCGTTGAAGCCATCAGCAACACAGTAGTCATTGCTTAGAAGAAATTTTCTTGGGAATACTCAAAAACAAACACATTTATTACTCTGAAATATGTTTCCCCTCAAATGAAAATCCTGTCGTCTGATTATAAAAATAATATGGATGAATTATAAAAGGCTCAAACAATACAGAAAAGTATAAAGAAGCAAGTAGGAGTCATTTGAAATTATATTGCCCAGAAATAACTGTTAACATGGCATGTCTCTGTGTGTGCACGTGTGTGCACACGCATAGACAAACACACACCCCTACGTACATATGTACACATCCTTTTACCAAAATGGCATCATACTGTACTATTGCTGTGTTTCATCAAATCTAAGGCATTATTGAGTTTAAGGAGAAACATTTATGTATCACCAAGAAAGAAAAAAATGCTGTCACACCTGCTTTCCTTTGTTATTTAGAATTTTATACTTACATGAAGTGCTTTTTTAGACTTATTTGGAAATAATTTATTTTAACCACATATTATTTTTATGTATGCATAAGAATGAAAATCGCAGTAAAATTAATTGAGTAGTATCTCCCTACAACATCACATTCAGAGTCCAGTCCTTCTGAACCATTTTTGACTCAGCTGTCAGTGTTCATGTCTTACCACAGAGGGTCATTGTCTGCACTGTCAGGAGGGTCAGTGTGCCACCTGCTGACACCCGTTCTGCAGGTGCTGGTGCTGGGATTTTTTCCGTCTTACCAGCAGCTTGACAACCAAGATTCCTGTTCCTTCCTTGATTGATCATTAAATGGCTTGTTCGAGAGAAATGGTGAGGGGTGGCAGTTGTCCAGTCATGCCACCTGGGTGACAAGTTTACATGAGCCTAGACAGTGACCTGTGTGTCAGTCCTGGTGCCCTGCAGGCAAAAACTGTAAGACAGTGTTGCTCTTAAGATGCATCCATTTCAAAGATGTTAAAATCTTATCATATGATAATTTGTAACCTGCTTTTTTTCCACTTGACGGTAGGTTATGGACACGGTTCTATGTCAATAAATGTAGATTTACATCTTTTTTTTTTATTGTGATAAAAAATAACCCATAACATAACATTTGCCATCTAAACCATTAAGTGTATGGTTCAGTAGTGTTAAGTACGTTCAGATTGTTGTGCAACCATCACTACCATCCATCTCTAGAACTTTTTTGTCTTGCAAATCTGAAACTCTGTATCCATTAAACAACAGCTCCCCTTCTTCTCCTTCCCCCAGCCCTTGGTAACTACCATCCTACTCTCTGTCTTTGTGAATTTGACTTCTCCGGGTATCTCATGTAAGTGGAATGATACTGATTTTTAATAATTAATAATTTGGCTATGCACATGTGCCCTATAAGTGGGCTTTGAAATGGCCTTCCTGTCTATTCACAAAATTGCCTGAAAAGTTTGTTGACCACTGTGAGCATTGTTGGCTCCAGCTTGCTGTCCCCATACTTGATGGCCTTGATCCTGATTTAATATGTGGTATTATGTCCTCTAAAGAAATCGATGTTTGTAAGTGTGATGAGATGGTTTACATTGAAAATATCTCACAGATTCTTATTTTTTTGTGAGGAAGATCAGTCCTGAGCTAACATCCATGCCAGTCCTCTTTTTGCTGAGGAAGACCGGCCCTGAGCTAACATCTATTGCCAATCCTCTTCCTTTTTTTCCCAAAGCCCCAGTAGATAGTCGTATGTCATAGTTGCACATCCTTCTAGTTGCTGTATGTGGGACGCTGCCTCAGTGTGGCTGGACAAGTGGTGCGTCGGTGCGCGCCCGGGATCCGAACCCGGGCCGCCAGTAGCGGAGCGCGCGCACTTAACCGCTAAGCCACGGGGCCGGCCCCTGTCACAGAATCTTGAGTCGTGGGTTCCTTTGAGACCATCTAATGTTTCTCACTCAGGAATTCCTTTTCTGTGAATCTTAGACCATAAACCCCTCTAGGACCAGTTCTTCTGGCTGTCTTGCTCACCAGTGCCCTTCCTCACCCCAGTGCTCTTCAGCTTGCTCCCCTGAAATGACCCATGGAGAATCACCCCATGTCCTACCTGCTCACACTAGTGGTTGGGTTCTCAGTCCTGTCTTAATTGATCTCAGCAGCATGTGACACGGTCTGTTCTCCTTATAACATGTAAACTTTTTTTTAACTATGAAATAAAATACATACTAATAAATCCTTGAAAAATATCAACAGCCGAATGACTGATGATGAAGCAAACACCCAGGTCAAGGTGGGGGCCAGTGCCAGCGCTCCATAAATTGTCGGTCAACCTTCCCCACTCCCTCACCCCGTTACCCCTCTCCTAACTTGATGGGGATTGCTCCCCACCTTTGTATGTTTTACCACCTCAGTATGCATTGCTAAACCCTAAATTTTAGTTTTGCCTATTTTTGAACTTAACATAAATGGAATCATGTAACGTATTCTTTTTTGTTAGCTTCGATTATAAATGTTTGTATTAATTTCATTTCATGCCATGTTTTTGGTTTTATTACAGTAATTACACATCAAGATTGCCTCAGGTGTGAATATAAAGTTTTTTTTTTTTTTTAAAGATTTTATTTATTTATTTTTCCCCCAAAGCCCCAGTAGATAGTTGTCTGTCATAGCTGCACATCTTTCTAGTTGCTGTATGTGGGACGTGGCCTCAGCATGGCTGGAGAAGCGGTGCGTCTGTGCGCACCGGGGATCCGAACCCCGGCCACCAGCAGCAGAGCGCGAGCACTTAACCGCTAAGCCACGGGGCCGGCCCTCAAATACTTATTATAGTATATCTGATATAAAATCTTAACTTTGTGTTAATGACATTTCTTATTATCACTTTCGGAATGACAAAGTGATATGCAATTACTTTTAATCCATTGTTTTAAATCAGTAGAAAATAAAGTAAATACATAGGGTTAGTCGTTAATCAACCCTTTTTTCTTACAGTGAATCAGTACTAGATTTTATCCACATTAAAGGATAAATCAGCCGTAGGTTAAAAGCAGCAGGTAGAACAAGGCATCAGCTGTAGGTGAGCCTTCACTTGACTTGGGGAAATGCCTGGCTCCTCCCTGCTCTCATTTCCTGACCTGCGCTCTTTGTCAGGATTCTCATGGCAGTTCTTTTTTTTTTTTAACCAATCACAAAACGTTTAATGTGATAGTTTCATCTTGCATAATTTAGAGTTCTTCATAATTTCTGCCTTTTTTACTTTTCCAGTGTTTTTTCTAGGTCTGAGTTTCTGTCTGGTATCATTTTTCTTCAGCCTGAAGAACGTCAGTGGGCGTTTTCTGTAGTGGAGGCCTGCTGGCAACAGGCTCCCTCTGGTTTTGTTGACCTGAAAATGTTTTCCTTTTACCCTTGTATTTGAAGGGTATTTTCGCCAGACACAGAATTCTGAGTTGACGGATTTTTAGTCCCCCTCAGTACTTTAAAGATGTTATCCGATTGTTTTCTGGGCTCTGTTGATCTCTGGTTTTCAGTGGTTTGATGATGTGCCTAGTGGTAGTTTTATTTTTATTTGTCCTGCTTTGGGTTTGCTGAACTTGCTGATTTGTTACTCTTATGTTTTTCATCAAATTTGAGGGTTTTGGCCATTCTTTCTTCAAATATTTTTCAGTTCTATACTTATTCTCTTCTCTTGAGGATCACTTGATATTGTCCCAGGGGTTGGTAAGGCTCTGTTCATTTTTCTTTCAAATCTCTGTCTTCAGATTGTATAGTTTCTGTCAACCTATTTTCAGGTTAACTGACTCTTTCTTCTGTCATCTCCCTTCTGCTCATAAGCTCATCTAGTGAATTTTCCATTTCAGTTATTGTGTTTTTTGTTTGTAGAATTTCCATTTGGTTCTATTTCATCATTTCTGTTTCTCTGCCGAAAGACCTTGTCTCTTCATTTATTTAACTCTATTCTAATGACCCCTAAATGTTGAGCACCAGCTTGGATCCCTCTCCTGGCCTCAAACTCAAATACTAACTGCCAGTCTGATGCCTTTACCAGGGTGTTTGGGAGTCACCTCAAGTCTCAACCTTAAATGGAAGGTCTGATTTTCCTTTCAGTCTTCTTCCTCCTTCAGCCTCTTTTGTGGTTCCATTACAGGTGTTGCCTTCCACAGCTTCCACCAGTTCTCAACCCAGAAATCTGAAAAATGGTCTGATGTCCTTCCTTTCCCTCACTCCATTCTGCCCCCACATCCCACCCCTTAGCAAGGGCTGTTGATTATAATAACTGGAAGGTGTGCTCCTCCCTCCATCTCTACTGTCCTGGCCACGTCTGAGCCCCTGTCTCCTCTTGTCTGGACAACTGGCTGTCCTACTTCTTCCCACCTGCAGCAGAGTGGCAATGAGAAATAGGATCGGTGGCTCGGCGAATCCCTGCCCTCAGCCCCTGTGGTTTCCCACGGCTCCTGGCCTGGACTGCAGACTCTTCACAGCCCGCATGGTCCTGTGTGCTGGCTCCTGTCTGCCTTGCCAGTCTCGTCACTTCCGATTTCCTTCCTGCCCGCTGGGCTCTGGCCTCACTCTTACCAACCCCTTCCTGCCTCCTGGCCTTTGTACTTGCTCCTCCTGCTTGCCTTGTTTCCCAGCTCTGTGTGTACCAGTCTTACTCTCCTCGCAGGTGCTCCTCAGAGAGGCCTTCTCTGTCCTCCCATCTTGGGTGGCCTCTTCCGTGCTACTCTCTCTCTCCCTTCCTGCCATGGTACCTATCTCAACCTGTGGTTCTCATCTTTGTTGACTTTGTCTCCCCTACTTGATGGTAAGGTCCTCAACAGCAGGAGCCTTGTCTGTTTTTATTCACTGTTGCATTCTGAGCACCCAGAATGGAGCAACACACAGGATTGCTTACTATTTGTTGAGTGAATAAGTGAATATTCCCAGTACCTGGCACAGTGCACATTTGTTACTGATTTAGTGGCATCTTCTGTACTTCATTTTTCTTCTCTTAGGTTTCAAAATTGCAATTGGGTTTTTACAGTTGATTTCAAAAGTGGAAATTAAACTGTCCAGATATGGCCATGACTCTTGCTTGCTTCAAACTCTTAAAAGTGTCATACAGTCTTATTGTTTACACAAAGCTTTGTTTCTTTTTGGCCACTTTCTCATTTTACTTGACATCTGCATAAGCAATACAAATTTCCTCACAAGACAGCAAAATAAGAAGAGAAATTTGGTTAATGAGGAGCAGTTTCTAAATTTAGTGAGTGTTCTTCTAGTATTGTCTGATGTGTATGTGGTCAGAGTACTGATGCTTAAATATTTTATTAAATCTCTGTTGTTTGGGGCTTGTTTTAGGTCGCAAAGGAGTTTGGCTTCCAGAATAATGGCTTCTCAGTTTACATCAATAGAAACAAGACTGGAGAGATAACAGCATCGTCCAACAAATCCCTCAACCTGCTGAAAATCAAGTAAGTACCCTGTGGGGGGAGGACGGGGTGGGGATGATGACACTAGTTACCTGCCCGGAGTTGCTCAGTTCCATCCTGTTTCCTCCTCATGCCACTCTAATTACGATCCTAGTCACTGACCAAAACGCAGGTGACTGTTATTTCTTGCCAGGTATTCAGCAGTCACCTGTTGAATAATTGGCAGTTATTCTTGAGCCGATTTGAGTGACTCGCAGAATTCTGAGATGTGTGTCACGAAGGAGAGAGTTATGGTCTCGGAGTGTGTGCAGCGGGTCGAGCTGCACGCTCAGCTGCTTCTCTGCAGAGGACCTTGAATGGAGCTGTGTGGGTTCTGCCTCGGGACCTGCTTGTTAGGGAGGAGGGGCCAGCAGTGCAGTGGCTCATTGCCCAGACCATATTTCTTGCCGGTGAGACCCCATAGAGTTCCTTGGAGTTGATGAGTAATGTCAGTAGGGGTTTCCAGGATGCAAAGACCTCTTACCATAGCCCACTGCTTGTTTTTGTAGTTTCAGTGGAGCAAAGCCACGGGCATTCGTTTACGTGTTTCCACACTACAAGGGTGGAGCTGAGTGATTATGACAGAGACTGTATGGCCTGCGAAGCCAAAAATTTTTATTGTTTTGGCCCTTTACAGAAAGTTTGCCGACTCCTGTCTAAACTGGGCACACCTGAGCAGAGCCCTTTGTGTTACTTCAGGCCTCAGAGAGTGGGTGGGGAGCTCTCCCGTCAGGGCTGCAGGCAGCATGGCTGCTGCGGCCACTGGCTGAGTGGTGGGCTGGGCTTTGCTGGCAGTTGGCCATGTGCCTGTTTACCTGTCAGAAAGTAGGCTATTTTGGCAATTTGTGTGAATTTTAGGTTCATAGATTAGTGTATATAGGGGAAAAAATGCAATTATAGCATTCATTTATTTGTTCTTCAACAGATACTTATTGGGCATCTGCTATTTTCTACCCCTGTAATTAGATAAAGCTTGTCATTTTTGTTTGTGTCCATTTCCAATACAGATGAGGTTCATCGTTCCTCCCAGGTTGTAAAAGGTTTTTGGAATCACTTCTCGTGAGTGTTAGGCAGGTTTGGATTCACACTCCGCCCTCATTGGCTGTGTGCCTGGGGAAGTTACTTAACCTCCCTGGACCTCACCGTCCCTGTCTGCAAGGGGGTAGCAGTGCCTCCTTCACATGGCTGCATAGTGCCCACACATGGTGAGAGCTCAAAAGATGGTAGCTGTGTTTTTAAAAACTATTCAAAGCTGGATACAAGAAAGGGAGGTTACAGAGTGAAATGCCTTTGAGACAAAACCATCAAACTATAGTGTTGTGGTACCAGTACTGTACCCAAGCAGAGGGACAGCTCAGCCATCCGGAGGGGGCATTTGGAGTGGATGTCTTTGTGAATTATCCTAGAGTATGTCTTTCCAATGATAGTCGTAGTACTTGCTGACCAGCATGGGTCTATCTAAACTTGAGAACTACATTCTATCGCTGCTTGTGAGTTATTTGAAACATGTCTTCATTTCACCCATGTCTTGGTGGTGGTTACTCTCTTTGAGCTCTAATTTGATCTGATTCCACTGTCCTCTGGCTTCCCTTGTCACAGCTCAGTAGTCCGTTATAATTCTGTTGTTCAATTTTAAGTGATCTTTTTTCCCCTCTGGCTGCTTTTAAGATCTTCTGATGTCCTAGTGTCCTGCAGTTGCTGTTTGACCTGTCCAGGTGTGGATTTCTGGTTTGCTTGTTTGTTTAATTCTACCTGATGTAAATTTTGTTTTCTGTATCTTGCAGATCAAGTCTGGAAAATTCATGGCCGTTATCTCTTTAAATATTACCTCTCCCCCTTCCCTTTATTATTTCAGTGATTACATTCTTCACTTTTAAGTATCCTATTTGATTCCTTTTCGAACCCAGCTGTTAGCCTCACTCGCTGGCAGGGGCCCTGTTGCCACTCCAGCCTCTTTCCCAGTTTCTGCTCTGCTCTCACACTGACCTGCAAAGCTTCCAGTGAAGACTGCTGGGTTCTTTGGGGGTTCTGCCTTGCCAGGCACACACATGGTGCTTCCCTCTCGGGTCTCGTGGTGTCGGTGGTCTCTCCCTCGTGTGTATTTGGGGTTCATGAGGGTACCTGTTGCACTGTTGTCAGCGAGTTTGACGTGTTGTCTGGCCTGTCTGTATGAGGGGAGGAATTAGGGAAGAACCACTGCATCTGTGGTCCCTGCTACCCCACTTCCCAGAATCCTACCTGGTCATTTTGGATAGCTTCTTGTTGCTTGTACTCTTTCCGTTCCATTTTTGTATAACATTCCATATAAGTTTATATTCTATATCTTGTAATTCCAAATCTCTATTCCTTGGGTGTCTAAATTTGTTTACTCTTGTCTCTTGCTCACTCTTGCTCGTGGTGGCTTGTTTCTCTTGTACATTTGGTGAACTTTTTTTTTTTTTGGTGAAGAAGATTAGCCCTGAGCTAACATCTGTTGCCAGTCTTCTTTTTGCTGAGGAAGATTCACCTGGAGCTAACATCTGTGTCAGTCTTCCTTTATTTTGTATGCAGGTCGCCACCACAGCATGGCTGACAAGTGGTGTAGGTCTGTGCCTGAGACCTGAACCCTTGAACCCGGGCCACCAAAGCAGAGCGTGCTGGAGTTAACCACTACACCTCAGGGCTTGCCCCTTGGTGAACTTCTTTTGAGAGCTTGTATTTGACCAAACTTGGTCTTGGGGAGTCCTGAAGGACCACCCCTCACCCCCCTTTTCTACAGAGAAGCCTTGCATTTGCTTCTGTTGGCACAAGGGGGCACTGTGGAACTAGCACTCCTTTGAGTTAACTTCTGTCTTTGGGCTTCCTGAACCAAGTAGCATGCCTAATTCCACCCTAGGTGCATGGCAGAGTGGGCTTTTGGTTACAGAGTCTCCGAGGTGACTTCTTTTCCTACTGTGTAGTCAGTGGAGGCAGACAGGATTCCTCCTCGGTTCCTATTTTCAGCTGGTGGATTTTTCCCAGCTCTCGAGACATCCTCAGACATCTGACTTTGTGTGACGTTTCAGGCTCAGCAATCCATCTTAGGCAGGTAGGCTCAAGGCATCGTCTCCTGTTTCCCAGAAAACGGCCATGTAAGCCAAGCTTGGGGCTCCTGTAGTGGGCTGGCTAGAGGGCAGCTCTGAGCTCTGTTCCCTTGCTGTTCTTATTTTTGCTATTGTTGGATTTTTGGACCCTTGTGGAGTTCCTTACTTTCTTTAGAGCTTGGCAGTGCATTTTA